CCGGGAACAATAAATCTTTAACACTTCCCGTGATCTTGGCATAGAGATCGGGATTAGTATTGTATATATAGTTTTTTAAATCAGTATTTTTCTATTTATTACGCTAGAGATTTATAAAAAGAATTTTTTTAAAAAGTGTTTATTACGTATAAATAAATTTATCTAACTAACAATAAATAATAATACATAATAAATAATTCTGTATTATATAGAACTTTTTGTAAAAAATATTACATCACATGATATATGTATAATTATATTATTGTATAGATTAAGCACTATTCTCAAAAACAATATCAAATTTACAAGGTTCAGCAATATATCCAACATAGTTTATGGGATTCACATTCTCAGATTCAAGTTTGATATTATATTTTAACAAAATTTGATATAAAATAAGTTTAAAGAATGCAATAGCATAAACTCTACCTGGACAGCTATGCTTTCCAAATCCAAATACTAAGAAATCACGTTCAATTTTTGTCATAGAAGAATTGTAGCGGTCTGCATTGAATTCATTAGGATTTTGATAATGCTCTTCATTATAATTTACGTCTTTAATATTTAAAGCAACCAAACGACCTATAATTTTAAATTGTTAGAGAGTGATAATTGATATGGTTTAAGAGAATAATCTTAAAAAATTTTACCATTTGGAACTTGGTATCCATTTGCAAATGTATAATGAGATTCAGTCGTGCATGCACGTGGCACAGAAATTAGATCAGAATTTAATCTGAAAGATTCTTTAATAAAGTTATCCAATTTCACCATTTTATCAACATAAGTGTAATCAAGGTTTCCATTACACTGTTTATGAATTTCTTGAGCTTCTTGACGTAATTCTTGCAAATATTCTTTTCTTCTGGCCAAATCTAATTTTCAAATAAAATTTATTTTAAATATAACTATTTTTTATAATGCAAAATAATAAATATGACTAACCATATATAACAAAAACAATACGAGAAGGTATAGATATCAAAGTAGTAAATATAAAAAAGTTAATTGTATCAGCAATAAAGTTATAATCTACATTATTTGGATCGAGATCTGGAGCTACTTCTGGATCGTTCAAGAGAAATTGTAATGCATCCGGCTATTTTTTTTAAAATTAGTTATTATATATTAAAATAATTTGATATTAATAATTAATTAAGGGTTTTCATTTTATAAATAACTTACAGGAGCAACCCAGGAGCTATCTAATTTCATTTTATGAAAACGATCTTCAACAATTGGCCTGATATGACTAGTAATTGCTTTTGTATGATTTAAAATATACTTTAAAGAATGTCTATTAAAAAATAGCAATAAAAAATAAATAAATTTCATATTAAAATGTATTTGCATGAATAGACAAGTAGAATTTACAAATTTTAAAAGCATAATAAAATATAGACAGAATCTTTTGTAAACATACTGGTTTGTCAAAAGCATATTATATTTTAAATTATAAACCAGTATGGTTCACAAAAAAAATTTATCAAGCCTATACAGGTCTCTAATTTAAAATGTCACAATATGTAAAAACTTACGTTGTAACTTGTATAAAGGATGACAATTTTGGTTCAAAAGCAGCTTTTCGAATTGTGTAATATAAATTTTTAAAATAGTCTAAGACATCCTCGCAATTGCCAAATTCCTAATTTTTTTTTTTAGAGTAACTAAGTTAAGATAATAATGAGAAAATTTACATAAAAAAAAAAAGAAAAAAAATAAGTAATATATACTTCAACAAGAACATTCGCAGCAGCAGCTGAAACTACACTTAACGTAATTTCATGTATATTACTGATAATTTTTGGTTCTATAGTAATTAAATGTTTTTTTAAACATCCACGAAAAATTAAATAAAATAATTTACTATTAAAACTTACAAACTTACCATTACATTCTCCAATATACTTATCCATGTCCTTAATAATAGTTTGTTGCATTGAGTCTGTAAAAACATTAAATTTTGCTTTGAAGAAACCTCTAATTATTTTAACAACTTTATCGTTTTTTTTTGCAGCTTCGGGAAATGCATAATCTATGAAAGCTTTCTGTTTTCAAGTAAAAAGGATGATTTAGAATTTATATTATTATAAATATTACAAATATTACAATTACAATAAACTACTATTTACACAAAAAATTCTACAATCACTTACCACAGTTGGGTTTCTGTCAATATCAAAATCAAGGTCTCTTTTATACACCTCATAAGCTGATTCTTTACCAACTATGGTCATTATTCGGCCAAATACGTATATCGAATACATTTCCCCATACTATTAAGAGATCATTTGTTACTATGTATAATAAAACTGAGAAAATTTGGTTTAAAAAAAAGTAAACCTTTTTTTGCGATTCTACAATAAAATTTTTGCAATCTGTTAAATAACTCCATGTATGTCCAATAATTGGAAATCGATAATCAACAATGGGCGGTTCATACTAAGAAAGGTAACTTCATATTAGTAACAATTATGAATAAATATCAAAATAGAATAAACACTTACTAGTTTAACCTGTCTCTGTGGTCTCCGTGTTAGTAGGAAATAAATTGATACTGAAATCAATCCAACGATTAATAGTTGAAAATATGTGTTTTCTATCAAGATTGTAATCATTTTTATTTTTCATAAAAGAATGAATATACAGTTAACTCTCTCAATATGCAGATATTTGTATAAATTATTCTAGAGTTTTGTAAAAAAAAAAAGTATCTTACAACGATGTTTTTTATAGGGAGATTTGTTACCGAGAGAGTTGACTGTTCTGGTTAGTGCTAATTTAGTAATTTAGCTAATTTCATTACCAATAACGTTTTAACGTTATTGTCATTATTTCTGTAGTTTCTGTAGTCATAAAACGATTATAAAAAGTCTGTTTTCCGCAATTAAATAAATTTTTTTCATAGGGAACATATACAATATAACAAGCTATCATAAGATTTCCAGCACCAAGTAAAACTAAAATAATTTATATTTGTTTAATAAAATTAAAATTACCTGATTAAATAATTATTTGGCTCTAATATTATCCATAAAGAGATTATAATGCTTATTTGCTTTATTTAATTATTTTTAATTTTCACCTGTTGATTGACTAAGGATGTTCTCAACACTTTAATGATAAGATCACATAATTTGATCGGTTTAATTTAATTATTTAATATTGATTGACTAAGGATGTTCTCAACACCTTAATGATAAGATCACATAATTTGATCGGTTAAATTTAATTATTTAATATTATATGTAAATTGTTCATTACCCAACAATGTGAATTTATGAAAGGTTAATTGTATTAGATTTAGGAAATCCACTCTTATTTCAAAAATAATTCACAGTTTTATTGATTAGCGCGTAGGCGGACATTATTTTCGCGTACATACAGTAAAAAACATGTGACGCTAAATTCTATTTAAATTTATCATCATAAATTCAATTCAATAAATAAATTCGAATTACGTATTATTAACAAAGATCATGATCTGCATTAGTGATATAAGATAGCTACGGACGTCATCGCGCAAAACCAGGAACAGAAAAGTATCTAATATTAAGTGGTTTAAAATTTTAGGTTAGAATTATAATTAGTCAAACTTGTTAGTAATAGAAAATGCTTATAATATACTGGGTTCTATATGATTAAGCGGAAATTTCATTTCCGATTATACCCATGCCACCCAGTGTATAACTATTACTATGTACTGCAACGGAGGGAATAAGAGGTAAATTCTCGGATATATAAGGCATATATAACCTTCTACAGCATCAGTAAAATTTTTTAATGCAGTTCTGCAAATTTCACAATATTGATAACGAGTTCAGTATGATATAGATGATCAGGTATGGTTTTTAAAATATGTATTTACGGTAGTTTCGAGGAACCCAGTGATATTTTTATGATCATCACATCACATGATTAAGTGTTCGGCCTAAGTTAGGGTTAGTGTTAGGGAGGGTTAGGTACTAGCAAACAAATAACGTCATTGTATGATTTCACATGTGATGTGATGATCACTGGGTTCCGTGTCCCGAGTATTTTATACATTTCTGCATTTTACAAATTTGATCACCAGTAAATGATTCAAATTTATGACCATCACTGATCTTTTATACGCAATCAGATTTACTCTTATAGTCATATATAAGTTGTACCTTATTTTTACATTAAAAAATGATTGGCAAAAATGTACAGGACATTTGTGATGGATGGTAATTTATTATAAGAATATACGAGGTTAATTTTAGGGGCAAAATTTTAAATCGGTTTTTTTCTTATTTAATCTCTATTTTATTATAATAACAGGCTTTTTAAAGAATTATATATACTTATTTATATTTTAATTAAAATAATGATTGTCTTGTCTAGATATACGTACTTACAGTACAGGACTCATTAAAATATGTTTACAAAAATCATGTGCATGATTCTCAAAATTCGTGCGCATGCCATTACTAGTTAGTTTTAATGTAATAAAATGAGCAATAAACTAATACGTAGTTCGGAGTTTATAATAATAATGAATAATAATACTGGTGCATTTAATTAGTCTAACAATCAGTCTGTCCAATTCATACTGATCGGTCCCGGGCAGCAACCCAGTACAACTTTTTAAAAGATGCAAATCTTTGGGCCTAGTTTAGATATGTATTTATTACCTTTTTGCTTATGCCCATTTAACGCTACTAATTTTTATTTTTTTCTCTTTCTCTCATTTATTCTGTGGTAGGGTCTGACTCGATTGCTTCACGATAATATGTGATAACAGGTTACACTTTGATAACTTATTTAAAGATAGATCGGCAAGATTCGAATTTACGTATTATACAATCTACCAGTGTACCACAAACCAACCACATAATAATTTATTCCTTCGCGAAAATAATATGCCGAAAATTCTAACTTTAATAATATCATCAACGTATAAAAAGTTTTGACACGCTATATTGTACGCATATTTCAAAATATATTTGTTCTTTGAAATTACCAAGTCAATAACCATGATTTTTTGGACTTTCCTAGTAATTACTACTACCCTACTCATAATATATTATAAATTAAACAAAAAGACTCCAGATGCTTTTAAAAATATTCACACACTTACGTTATTTAACAGAATTTCTATGATTATTACTAAACAATTAGGATATGACCAACTATATTTCAGTCATAAACAATATTTTGAAAGGGATGGAATTGTAAAGGTAAAATTTATCGGCACACTAATATATAATAATAAATTTATCAACTAAATAATGAGTCATTTATATAGGAACGTGTTAGAGGAAAGTGGAGTTGCTTAGTAACTGATCCAGCAATTGCAAAGGAGCTTTTATTGAAACCAGGTGCATTTTATTAATAATAGTTCACTTAATACGTCATATTTACATAATTTTAATCCAAAGTTTTTTAACAGATGTTTATCCTAAAATGAGCATTGAAAAGTTTTTTCCAAATTCTCTATTTGCAGAATACTTTGGAACTAATGTGGTTTTCTCAAATGGCGACGTAAGTACTAATTAAATTTATTCTTATTTTTCCTTTGATAAATCTTACTATTAGAACTTATATTTTTAGATTTGGAAAAGACACAGGTATTTAGCTTCTTTTTTTTTTATCAAAATTGAGATTTTGGCTAAAACTATATAAGTTTGTTCAATATTTGATCTATAATGGGTTTATAACTAGTAATTATTATATTATAATAATATTTTTTAAAAAAACATAATTACAGCATTATGATTACTAGTTAATAACTAGTTAATAACAAGTTATAATTATGTTTTTTTAAAACATTATTATAATATCGTAAGTACTAGTTTACAACTAGTTATTATTTGGTAATCATAATATTATAATTATATTTTTTTAAAAATTGTTATGTATAATGTAATAATTACTCTATTATCTAAAAAAATATTTTAAACATGTTTTAAAACATTGTTTGCTAGTTTTAAATCCACTATCAAATTTTTTACAAGTTTCTATATATTTGTCACTATAGTTAATATAAAAATTATTATAAATCTCAGTTTTAGTCAATTTTTAGCTTCTACTTCAAAAATTTTAACTTGCTAATGATATTAATTCTATTTAGACGTGTTTGTAATCCTGCATTCAAATCTTTACCATTACAACTTTTTGCAGATATTGCATTGAAAATGATTAATTCTTTAGAAACAATTGATAAAAAGCCTATCGAAATTAGAAATTTTATGCAAAGGTAAAAGAACTATTCTTTATTAATAATTCATTATTTTTTACTTTAAATCACTACTAGAAAATAATTTTTTATAGATTTACTTTTGATGTTCTTGGGAAAGTTGCTTTTGGTTTTGACTTTAATGTAAGTATTAATGAAAATTATTAATTGTAGATAACTTGTCAATTCTATATTCTAATATATATGTATTTTTATTAGAGCCTTGGAGATCCAAATAGTCCTTATATAACATCATTTAATGAAGTTCAAAAGGCAGTATTTGACCCATTAACTTTGCTTTTTCCAATTGATCGTATTCCAATAATAAGACAACGTAAACTTAAAAAAATTAATAAATTAAATAACATATTTGATGAAATCATTAAAGAGAAGCATAAAGCTTTAGCTGCTGGAAAGTCTCAAGGAGACCTTTTAGAACATATATTAACTGCTAATGAAAATCATGATAATCAAATGCTATCAGATACTGAACTAAGAGTAAGTTAAAGAAAAAAATTTTTATTTTATTATTATTATAAATTAAATTTTAATTAGACAAATTAAATAGTATACACTAGCTATTTTTATGCTTGCGGGCCATGAAACAAGTAAGTATATACATATTTAAATCTTATACTAAATGATATCTATAATTTCTACATTAAAATAATATCCTACAAATTTATATATAAATTAGCTGCAAATTCTTTATCAACTATTTTATATCTATTATCAACTTATAAAGTAAGATAAATATTTATTATTATATTGTTATTGTTAATTATTGTTATTATTATATTTATTGAGAAACTGTATATTTTTATATAGATTGTTCAAGAAAAAGCTCGAGAAGAAGTATTTAGAATACTTGGTGATAATTTAATACCATCAGCAGAACAACATAAATCTTTAAAATATTTAAATATGATTATTCATGAAAACCTTAGATTATATCCACCAGTAAGTATAAATTTATTATTAATGTATTTTAAATTAAATTATCAATAAATATAACATTGTCATTAATAAATAAGGCTCCATCTTTGTTATATCGCGAAATAATTCAAGATTTAAAAATTAAAGATATTGTAATTCCAGCTGGCACAATTATTGAATTATTTTTATATGGAATACATCATTCTCCAAAACTTTGGGATAATCCTGATGAATTTTTACCAGAGAGATTTGAAAAAAATGAATATGCAGATAATGAAAATTTTTCTTGGTTAGCTTTTGGTGCTGGAGCTAGAATGTTAGTTTGTTTTTTAATTATTATTTTAATTGCATTATTTACAAATATATTTATATATTATTTTAATGATTACAATCTTTTATTAAAATAATAGGTGCTTAGGAAATAACTTTTCTCTTATTGAACAAAGAATTGCGTTATGTCTGTTATGTAAGTATTTCAATTATTATATTATTACATTTTTAGGGGTGCATAAATATATATTAAAAAAATTATTTATTTTTAGTACGCAAATATGAAATCTCATTAGCACCAAATAGTATACATAAAGATGGAATAAAATTTCGGACTCAAATGACCCCATATCCAATTGAACTTATATTTAAAAGAAGGGATTAATAATAAACAGTTCATTTTTCTTGGTTATCACGGATTATGTCTCCAGAGTGTCTGTTTCTCAATTTTCTTTATCCTATTTCAATTGTTACTTTAGTATGATTATTATTACTAGGAATCGGAAACCGACGTAAGTCCTTAGCATAAAATTGAATGGTTTGTTTTTTTTATTTAATATATTCTGTTATGATTTTTTTATTTAATTTTTTGTTGTTTTTTTTTTATTTTATTTTATCTAATTTAATTGCAATTTTTAATTTTGATATGTCCTTTTTTTTTTACTTAATTACATTCATTTTTTATTTTACAAATTATTTTCAATTACAATTTTTTGCTCATGTTAAAATATTCTGATCGGCTTACTTATACAAACATATAAATATGCGAGTGACACTGAGAGAAAAGGGGCTTTGGCCTTTCAGTTTATTGCTTATCGGACTAAGCCCTGAAAGATCTAATCAATTAATATATAATTATTGTTATTGTATTCCTTTTTTTTTCATGGCTAAACTGTTAAGTTATAAACTTAAAAAACCAGACCTGGTTTTCTTTTGGGTGCTTAAATACAAACATTCGAAGACTATTAATTAGTTTATAATGTTACCCATGTTCACAAATATTATTTTGTTAGCGCAGAATACGGTAATTATTAACAAAATCTTAAAGTACTGTATGAACGTATGTATTTGCAACATCTGATCTAAGAAATAAATAAAGTCATTGTAATCCGACAATGATATCACCTGATCAATTAGTTCACTAAACTGTTCTTTAACGCCACTCTCAACAGTTTATAGTTAGCCAAAAAATAATTCGCGAAAGTCAAAATAAAACCTGAATCTGGCAACCCTTTTAACTCTGATTTGCTGAAATTTAAAATTCACATTTCGCACTACAAGTTTTTTTAGGACTATTAGACAACAAAAGACAGCAATTAAGTCGATTTTGAGTCTTTTTTCTTGGGATGGTGGGAAAAGAGTATCATTCGCTAAATATTCTTGCTCGTCATGTGCCACTTCCTCGCACATAACAATCGTCACTTCACGCTCTAAATTATAAAAAAGAGAATTTAGATATTAATATTTTAAGCCAAGCCAAGAAAATAAACTGACATCTCTATGTGATTAACATTAAAGCTTAATGTGTGTCTGCCTATTCTAAATCGGTTTAATTTGCTTTTGATAGTTCTAATTTGCAATCATATTATACCAATCATTATATTAATTAAATTAATCAGGGTGGTTCCTTTGCAGTTGATGCTTTTCCTTCTTCTGATCCATGGTTGTTGCATCAAAGATTCAAAGAAGTTAATGTGATGCTCTTGTAAAATACTTTTCATCAAGGCGTTATAAGTGTATCTACTAGGAGAGCCTTAATTTCTCCCCCAAGTTGTGATTGAACACATGAAATCCTGTCTTTAATTGGATAAACTAGTTCACACCACCTTAGCACAGCCGCAAAATCAAAAACATCGGTTTAGTTTTTCTTCATTAAAAAAATCAAAAACATTTTTATTAAGCGAATGTATTTTATTTACGTACTTCCTGAATTCTTTTTGCTGGTAAAATAAATAAATAAATATCGAAATAATTAAAACATTAACGAAAATGAGTGCTTCTGACACAACCAAAATGCTTTATTCTCAAGTGAATAAAATTTTGTTGAGACCTACGCTTAAAAGCTTGTAATTTTAAATATACTCAATCTCTGTTTCAAAATTCCTGGCTGTAGGATTGCGGCCCAACCCATTTTTTTTTGAGTTATGAGATTACTACATAGTTTTGGTTTGGGAATCGGGATTTCTACTTAATTTGGGTTCAAGTCAAAACCAAAACGTATGTCCCATTTGACCCACCTAGTATTGCCATCAAAATAAGTTACGTATTACGGAGCTTAAATTTATCGCCGATATTAGTATTAATGATTAATACAATAATGACAACATTTGATTAGCATGCATACCGAGAATGTGTACAAGGTTGCGCTCCGGATGTCAGTTCGGATGGCTACTCCGGAGTTCAAAATTTATCAATTAATCATCAGTTATTAATAGGCTTACTTATGTACGTACGTATGTTGTTTGTAATTTGAAAATACTGTAAATTCTTTGACAAAAAAAAAAATATTTAATAAATTTTGTGCATTTTATTTAATGATAATAAAAATTTTTAAAAAACTAAAAACTTTAATAATTTTATTTTTTCATATATGGCAAGCTCTATACAGTGTGACGAACCTCTCTACAATGAACTTGTTTTTTTTTCTGTACGTCAGTTCGTTATTTGTAATAAAAGTAACGTTAAAGATGATTTAGAGAACTAAGAAAATTTTTTTTACGAAAATACAAATAAGTTATTTAAAGAAATTTTAGCGTATGAATAAATATCATAGGATATAACTTTTTTTATCATATAAATTCATGTTTTGTTGCATAATTATTAGGTAAGTTTGATTTAAAGTTAAAGAATTTGAAGAATTAGTAGATCAAATAAATAAATATATTTTTCTTTTCTTTAATGTTATGCGCAAATAAAGATATCAATAATAGTAACTAAAGGTGCAGTGCAAAGGAAAGTCGACTTTATAACATAGATCATTATAATTGTCGATACAGTATTAAAAGAAATCGAGATTTGTTCGGTCATCGGGACCATCATATAATCATCCGGAGCACAACCTTGTACGTACACATTTTCGGTATGCCAAATAATACGGCACATGCCGTAACCGTCATAGGCAGACATTCGTATGATTGGTAGTTTAAATCAATTTAATTTTACATTATTTATACAGTTTAAAGTACTTTTCAAAAAAAAAGAAAACTACGAAGAATAAACAAAAAAGAAGTACATAGAAAGTTTTATAAGCGTTGTAGGACTTCACTATTAAAAATAATCAAAATTCTTTTTTGTTTTAGATAAGTTAGCATAATAGCGACTTCATAAAATTAGGTTATCACAATGCTAACTTCTCTAAATCAAAAAAGAATTTTTATTATTTTTAATAGTGGAGTCCTACAACGCTAATAAAACTTTCTATATACTTCTTTTTTGTTTATTCTTCGTAGTTTTCTTTTTTTGAAAAGTACTTTAAACTGTATAAATAATGTAAAATTAAATTGACGAATGTCTGCCTATGACCGTAACCGTATTAATTTGCCAAATTAATTCTACCGACAACACTAGTCGAGATATCTCCGTTCAAAGTCAGAAGAAATTCAAGCTGCTTATAAAAGTTTTTTTTTTAAAAAAAAAGTTTGAGAGCAGTTATTTCAATAACTACCTAAGCAAATTCGATAAGCATTTTTTTTACTTACCCGTATTATTGCGAAATAACGGGCATGGGCGTTATTTAGAGGTTTGGCCCGAATTAAGCTTAATTTAGGCCGAAATTTGTAATTTCACCCCTGCGCGTTATTTCGCGACAATACGGTAAATTTTAAAGATCTCCAGAATTTAAAGAAAAAAAGTTCGTCGAAATTGTTTAGGTAGTTGCCGAGATACCTTCGTTCAAAGTTTCTAAAAAATTTTTACAATTTTATTATAGGCGTTTGAACTCCTACTGACTATGAGTGAAGATATCTCAGCAACGACCTAAACAAATTCAATGAAGTTTTCTTCTTCTAATTCGAAGTCCTCTAGAATTAAAACAAAAAAGGTTATCGAATTTGCTTAGGTAGTTGCTGAGATATCTTCGCTCAAAGTTTTTAAAAGATTTTTACGATTTTCTTATTATAGGCGTTTTGACTTTGAGCGAAGGTATCTCAGCAACCATCTAAGCAAATTCAATGAACCTTTTTTTTTATAATTCTAGAGATCTCTAGAATTAAAATAAAAAAAGTTCCTCGAATTTGCTTAGGTGGTTGCCGAGATAACTTCGCTCAAAGTTTTTTTTTTTAAATATCGACACGGTATCATGTGTCCCAAGTACGTAGTGATATGGGCCGGCCCGGATAATATTGGCCGGGTATCTTCGGAATGTAGACAATAAGACAATTTTGATACGAATCTCTTATTAGGATCGGAAAAAGGAGATCGAATCGAATTTAAATAACTCTCAATTGATGTTTAAAGTGTGAGAAAGGTTGAGTATCTTTCAGAATTTTTCAAAATTATTCATAAAAAGGTCAGCCCTGATCGCCCGCCCCAAGGCTGGTCACTAGTCCCAAGACGGATAACTATATATAGGTTAAAAATTAAAATAAATGTCTAATTAAATGGCAATTATCTTCACTTTGATAATTAAAATTTTAAAATTGCACAGTCATAATAGATCTTAAACATATAAAGGGCTCGTATTAATATTTTAATAGACTACAATATTACCGTAAATTTCAGTGTAAGGTACCCGGTGTGATGCGATTTTTTGCAATTAAAAAAAATCCAAATCACGTGTATTACACGTCATATGGTGTATAAATAATATTTTAAAAATTGATCTACATTATTTGTCACGCTGGGTACCTTGCACCGAAATTTTCGTAAAACAAATTGTATAGTAAAAAGACAAAAATACTTTACAATCTTATTAAAGTACTATATCATCCTAAAATTTAAGAATTCCATAAATTTAAAGTGGTAATTAATATTCCAACTTATAAAAATGGAATATTGAAATTTCGCTGATACGTCAAATAAAAATTTTAAATATTATGTGCAAACAGTGCATTCCTAATTATAGAGTATCGTTGATTTATGTCTAAAACATTGATGGCGTTGAATTCAATATTGTATTCATTCATTATATTTTTAAAACTTTCTGAAAAAGAAATCCAGTCTTCATAATCAGTTGGCATCATTCGGACCCCATCTGCTCTTAAACATTCTTTTTGTGGTTCGATTAAAAAAATCATGTATTTATTTTTCTGTCTGTAACGTTCGAGGCATTTATTTGTTTCTTCCATATCTAGTAATTCATTCCATCGTTTTCCACAAAATGTCTGGGCATACACTAAAGCATCCAACGCACTTCGATCCAAAATCGCAAATTCATGCTCAATTTCCTCTTCTTTTGCGCATTGAGCCTTAATTATAGATGCCTGAAATTCCAATGATTTATCAGGATCATTTCTAAGAATGTCTGCATTTAAATTTAATTCTTTTATTAAAGTTCTTGCAATCTCGCTAACCAGGATCCCATTCATTTTGTTCTTAATAAATCTTGCCAGGGTTGTTTTACCAACACTATGAGCTCCGACAAAAACAACTTTTTTTCTCGGAAGTACGTTAAGTATTTCTTTTACGACCGGTTGTTGAGCTACATCCCATCGGGTTCTTGTATCAATAATTGGTCTTGTTTCATCCATCCTTGTAAATATGAATTCTTTGAGAAGTTCAGGCAATATAGCTTTCATCTCAACCATTGCAAAGTGTTGACCCACGCATGATTTTGGTCCCACACCCATTGGTGCGGAAAGAGTAATTAGGTTTTTATTCTTTATGAAACGTTGTGGATCGAACTTAAGTGGATCATCAAACCATTTTTGGTTACGATTCATACGTGCAAGACTAATTACAATGTTTGTACTTGCTTTAATATGAATTCCTGAAATTTCGCAATCATTCAAAGATTTTCTAATAATAACTGGCCCAACAGGCATTAATCGCATAGATTCTCGTAAAACTGCTTCCAAAAGTGAATCATCTAAAGAATCATCTAAAGAATCTATTAATTGATTCACGATTTTTTTATTTTCAGTAAGAAGTAATATAGTATAATATAAGCTAACAGAAGAGGTATCCGTTCCTGCAAGAACCATTTCAAGAATAGATTGTTGTATTTCTTCATTCGTCAAGTTATTACTATAAAGCTGGCTTAAGAAAGTTGTTGCTTGAGGATCGATAATTGAAATGATGTTTTGAATTTCTTTTTGAAGTTTCAGAACGGATTTTCGGTGATGAAAAAGTTTTAAAGGAAACAAAGGCCATATGAAACGTGGTTTTAATAAAAAAAATTCCCAAGCTTTAAAGTATTCAACAACGCAGTCAATTAGGTTTTGTGATTTTTCCAAATCAAGCTGGATGCCGAGAGAAACTTCAAGGATGATTGCAAGAGTTATATGACGAAATACATTTAAAAGATCGACAGTCGGAGTATTATTGTTTTTTAATGCAGAAGTTTTAATACGATTTATTTCTTGCCGAGTTTTTTCAACTGCAACATTAAAAGCCCTTTGGCGAGCATTAGAAGCAAGGCCAGCTTGAAATATATGTTTTTGATGCGTCCATTTTGAAACGTCATTATTCCAAATAATCCCATTTTTATACATTCCGATTTCTTTCAAACCATGATCATTACCCATACGTATAATAAAATTTTTTGAATTATTGTCGCTTAAGATTCTTTGAGCAAATTCCGCATCACAAGTAATAATAGTGTATTCTCCATTCATCCATACTCCAACAATGTCGCCATAAAGTCGACACCAAAATTCAGTGAATTCTGGAACAGTATAAAAAAATTGAAGTTGAATAAACATTATCATACCTATAAAAATATTAAGAGGCGGTCCACTGATGCCAGTTGACTTAGGCGCCACATGGGCATTGTAAAGATATACTGAGAGAATTATAAAAAATATTGCAATCGATACACTTGCTGAAGGAAACATTTTAGACGTTAATTGATAATAGAAAGGGTTTACTCGATTCATTATATATTTGATTTATTATATATATTTGTTATTGTAACATACGCATTAATAATTCCTTTTTAAGAGACAATGACAAGCTGATCGCATGTAAGTATAGTTAACTCTGCACTTTTTCCTTAATGACTCAGAGCTCGATATACTTATTAGACTGTATAATAGAAGGGTATTGCGATTTATTATATTGATTTATTGCGGATTTATTATTGTAGTATAATCCTTTTTAAGTGACAATGACAAGCTGATCAGGTATAAGTATACAACTTTTCCTTAAATGACTCAGAGATCGATATACTTATTGGAAGAAACATTTTAGACGCCAATTGAATAATAGGAGTTTACTGCGATTTATTATATATTTGATTTATTATATATTTATTTTTATACGTAACATAATAATTCCTTTTTAAGAGACAATGACAAGCTGATCGGATAAAAATATAGTAATTCTGCAATTTTTACAACTTTTCCAATTATTCCTTAACGTTAAATGGCTCAGAGAGAATTTTCGAACAATCCAGAACTTGAAGAAATTAAGCTAACGGTAAATTTGTCGCCACCTTCACAAAAAGGCAAAACATATGTTAAAGCTCTCTCATTCACCGCTAGCAAGATAACGTTTTCGCATCAAGTTCAAGCTAGTAATAGAGTTTTCAGATCTGCGGAAGCGGGTAAATTCTTGATAGTTGATTTTCAAAAATTGCGTTTCGAAAAACATTCAGCATCAGAATATATAATAAGAATCCTTACTGCTGGTATTCTTTTAAATGACAACCGATATCATTATTTCGGGCAAAGTAATTCACATTTAAAACAGAGAAAATGTATATTACTTCAAGCGAGCCAACGAGAAATCAAACAAATTCTTGATGGTTTCGGTGATTGGTCTATATTTACAAGCGTTGCCAAGCTAGCAAAGAGAATAGGCCTATTATTTACAGCTGGTGATTCAGTACTCAAATTACCCTCTGAAAAGTATGATATTATCGATGATGTGGAACGGAATAATTTTAACTTTACTGATGGGTGTGGATTTGTTTCTAAATCTTTAATAAAAAAAA